TGGTGTAAATAGTATTAATAGTATTTGGGTAGCGCTGATCACAAAATTAATTTTTCAAGAGAAATCTTGAGCTATAGATTCTGTTAAAAAGAATCAATTATCAGCGGAAGATCAATGGCGAGTCGGTTTTACTACCAAATAAATTTATGAATTAAATTTTATAGACGAATATATATTAATAATTCTCAACCACATCATATATTAATACAAATTGTAAACATTATTATCGCAAATTAATTTTATAATTTAATAATTAAAAAGAATATATTAAACTTTGTCTTAATTTAAGATGTCGTGTTTTAATTTACTTGGATATTAAAACAATAAATTTTTTTAAATGTAAAAGAAAATGATATAGAATATCGAGATGTTTTATGAAATAAAAGAAATGAATTGAGAAGTTTTCTAAATTCAATTATTATAATTTTATATATTATAGCAATTATTTATAATTTTAATTTACTCAAGAAATTTTTGATCTGAAAATAATTTATAACCTAAAAAATTTATTTTTTTGTTATAAATAATAAAAGTTAATAAGGTTATAGAAAAGAATTCTTCCAAACATTCACGACACATTGTTGCGGTTATAATAAAATATTGTGCGATTATTTTTATATAATTAAAATTAATACGTATTTATTATTTAGAAAATACAAGGAAAGCGGCGCATCCACCGCTTCCAATGACGGCACGCCACTATTAACCAAGCATTATTATTCCTTTGGATTCTTCCCTCTATAAAAACTCGTCTTAAGTTGCAGCTTTTTCATATACTCCAATCGTGTGTTGATCCAGGAAACTTTGCATTAATAATATTTATTTTTATGTCGGGATCACACGCCTGACAAATAATGAAAATATAATAATTCATTGTATTATTTTTGTGTCACGAAATGATACTTATAATTTAATAACAAATTTGATAATTTATGTACTAAAATCATTTAAAATATAATCCAAAAAGTTACTTACTATTTGTGTATTTATGGAACGATATCCTTTTCGATTCACATAGGTAAATTCTTTACGTCGGGATCATTAAGTGATGGTGCAATTATAGTAATGCGAGTTCCATCAATAGCAGCTATCACTCCCGGAAAGCCACCTAAACTCATAAATTTTGTTTTAGTAATGTCATCTCTGTTTCACTATTTGAAAATTTTATCCAGCGATGAAGAAGAACCACAATTATTGCCTCTCTTACTGTCGTTA